TGGCAAGGCAGTCCATGTTTGGCACTTCTTTCTTAAAAATCAGTTTTCCACAATGATTTGCCAGATTTGGACTCTTTGGTTCAGATTAAGAACCGTGACACAAATCGAGTCCGAACTGTAGCAGCGGGGTCCCCCTCCGCGGGCGCGTCTACATTTCCCAACAACTCCCAACATATCGAAATGCCAAAATTTAAAGACATAACTCATAAAGAGGAGTAGAATATCCCTACCTCAAATTCGGAGCTCAAGGGAAGAAGGTGACGAAACTCAACGTGCTCCAAAACTCGAAATTTTCGGATCAATGCAAAGCCCTCGACGATCAACCCAACTTTTGTAAAGACCAAAGGTGAGGAATACACCCTAGCTAGATCAATACCTAGAGAGAAGTTGAGGTTCTAGTGAGAGGAGCTCTCAAATGGAGATTTTGAAGAGTAAGAGAGAGAAAATGAGTTGAAAAAGTGATCCAAAAGTCGGATCTCGAATTTATATAAAAGTCGCCCCGCTCGAGCGTCAAACTCCCCGCTCGAGCGGCACTCACAGGCTCCCGCTCGAGCGGCCAATCCCCCGCTCGAGCTCCGGATGCACACTCCCAGAACTTTTGCAGACAGGTCTCTCGCTCGAGCTTCTAACTCCCCGCTCGAGCGTCACACACAAACTCCCGCTCGAGCGTCAAACCTCACGCTCGAGCGTCCAACACTACAGAGGAAGTACTGGGAAGGTGATTTTCCCGCTCGAGCGCCGAAACCCCCGCTCGAGCGGAGAGGCCAAAAACTGGGCAAGGATTCTGAGTTCTAAAACATAACTAACTTATTCCCAACAAGTCCAACACAACCCAAAACTCTACAACAAGGAGTAAGGGATAGAATTGAGGATAAGACAACAACAAATCTACGGAACCAAGCCCGGATTACAGTTCAATAACAACAGGGAAAACCGGGATCGCTATATGAAACAACATCTATGGCACAAGTTTGAATAACTAAATAGTACAAATAGAAGGAAATAAGGTTACAACACATGAGATTCACATATGAAGATAGGCACAAGTAACTCTAGGCATATTCAAGTAGTTAAGGGAATAAATTCGCACATGAATATAATTTCCAGATTTGCATAAGTGTGAGCACCATTGAATGATTAAAATAAAATACATAAACCTATGACATGTGAAATATCATATCGAGACATGATCATATATTAATAAGCAAATTCATGAACACAAGAGCATAAAACACTAATGAAAATAGAATTTCCAGATTCAGTACTACCTAAAGATTATACTCAAAAGGGCTATTTCAGATTTTTTTCCAGAGCCCGGCCTTCCCATGGTTCGTAGGGAATTTTATCTAGTTTTCAGAACATTTTTTGGAAATGGAATAGCTTTTCTAGATTTGTAGTTATTTTAGAAATACTCCAGCTCTGTCCAGATTCGTCGACCGTTACGAAAATCATATTTTTTCACAAACCGCTCACTCGTTCTTAATGAAACCAATTTTCCTTGAAAGATAACTCCTTAAGAAAGATTTTTACATAAAATGGAGGCCCATAATATTTTTATACATTTTTCTACAATTTTCGTAAGGTGGCTGCAAACCAAATTTTTCTGGCACAGTTCTTGAAAATAGAAAGTTGGTGAGAAAAGAGGTCTGCTAGGGGAAGTTTTCCACTTATGTTGTGAGGAAAACATGCTCAATAATATGTATTAAACTCAGAAATTTAAGGTGAAGGTGTGCCTTTGAAAATTTTGAGAGATTGATAGGGAAAAATGTAGTCTTATATCGATTAAGAAAAATAGAAGAAGGGTAGATTCAAGGCTCAACTCCTTTCATTTTTAACACAAGAATACCATTATAACACATCTGAAAATACCATTTTAAACTTCTAATAACATGTATTTGAAAAAGGAAAATGGAAGAGAGAGTTGTGTTGTGGTTTACTTGAGGGTTGTTGGAATTGCTAGCAAACTTCTTTTCATATCTTCCACCAAGCTCACCCTCCTCCCTCTCTTCTCTCACTTGAATATAGTGTGGGTGTGTGTGTGTGTGTATATGTGCTCAACAAATGGGGATGAGTGGTATATTTATAGAGAATTTGGTGTGAAATGTCCCAAATGCGCATTGGTTCCAATTCAATTGAATAGTGCCTTGATTTAGTTTAAATGTAATGGAATGAGGGAGGATTAGAACCTTAATTATGTATTTAATTATGATCTAGTTAGGTTTAGGGCTAATTTAAATACCTTCTAATTAGAAGTACATACATATATATAGCAAATCTATATAGGTACCAAAGTCATTATTGCTCAAAGATTTCAAGGGATTGTTTGTACTAAATAAATCCTATAAAATCCTATAGTATCTTAGGGAAAAGGGGTGGTTGACCCATTCTAGATTCGGGAAATTATGTATACAATTTGATGTGATATTTGTAGACAAGAGTAGATTATGGTATAAACATATATATGATTTGATTCTCATTATAACCTGGGGGGGCATGATGGTTGGCCAAGATAAAGATTTGGAGAGATTTTATGAATTTATTTTGTGTACCATTGTATATATATATAAGTTTGTAACCAAAGTCAAAGGTTTCCCTTAAATTATGCAAGTTTGTCTCAAAAGTACACTTATTTTATCTATGTAGGTATGGCCGGCCATATGATGGTGATTTGAGGGACTTAGTTTATTATTTTCTTGTATACAAACATTGGAAATTGTAAAGTATGGTGTGTAAAAATAGATTTTAGGGTAAAAGTGTATATATATAATGGTTACTTGTTTGGGGTCAATTAGTGATTTAATAAAAATGTGAGGGCTTTGGGTTTAATTCATGTATAGGAACATTTATTTAAGTGCGGTATTTAATTTAATTAGGGTTTGGAACTTCAATTCGGTTAAAGTTTCTTTATTTCGAATTAAAGGGCGAGTCGTAATGAGAACCGAAAGCGAAGGATTTTTGATTGGCAAATTTAGTTACGGGATTAATTTAATTATTATTATTAGGATTTTGGAAGCATCCCTGAGTTCTCGAGTTCAATTAAGGCTTGCGAGTTTTCTGTTGGCGTGCGTTTTCGGCTCTACAGCTAAAATTGGAAATAAATAGGGGATCGATGGTCTATATTGAAATAATTCAAAAGTAAGGGTCTAAATAAAATTACAGAGGTCAGGGGCCTCATAGTTAAATAATTAATATTAGTGTGTAAAAATAATTACTAACACTATCGAGGTCGATTTGGTTTTGTACGGGTTTATTCGCGATTCGTTTTCGATTCTAGAGTTATATTTGTGAATAAATAGAGAACTAAGGGATTTATTATAATAACTCAAAATTTGGGGACTTAATAGGGTTTACAAAAGTTAGGGGTCTCACAGAGGAAGATGATTATAGAGAGATAGAGAGATGAAGATGATTCTAGACAATAAAGATTTCAGCCGTTGGAAATGAAATATAGAGATCTCAGTTATTGGAAATAAGAGATAAGAGTGTCTTGGAATGTGTAACATGAGCCCAACGGCTCTATTTGAATCTGAAAGTAAAAAAATGAGCATACAATTTTTAAACGGCTATAATTAAACAGCTATAATTAAACGACTATTTTTCTTTCAATTTGAGTGGTACAAATACACATACCTTGTTTTACCAATTTGAGTTCATAGCAATAATTTTTCTTTCAATTATATTTTTCTTTTCTATTTTTCACACAATCAGTGTGGAAGGTTCATTTAAAACAAAGAGAGGAAAATCATTCACTACTCAAGAAGATGTGTCCATTTGTAGAGCTTGGTGTCACATTACTGAAGACCCAATTGTTGAAAATTAGCAATCGCATTTTTGAAAATTATTACTCGCTGCAGAATGATCAGTCAAAAACACATGTGTCTATCTCATCTCGATGGGGTATAATCATGAAATGTTCCAACAAATTTCATGGGTGTCTAGCGCAGTTCGAAAATCTACATCCAAGTAGGGCATCACAAGTTGATATAGTAAGATTTCATTTTCATTTATTATGTTAGTTTTTTTATTTTGTCTTATATAAAAATTAACTAATTAATTAATTTAATATTTTATTGCCATATAGATGCTTCAAGTAAAACTGTTATACCATCAAGATGAAAATAAACATTTTACTTTTGAATATTGTTGACCAATCTTGCAAAACAATATCAAGTGGCAAGATGTAACTCCTACGAACATGGTGAAGTTAAGGATACATACACCGTTTTCTCCTGATTCAGCCCCCGATTCCCTTATGAATAACTGTATTTCTCTTGAAGATGACACTAGTCCAAGTATTGGTAATAATCCAACTATTGGTGAGGGCAGTGTCACTGCAAAGAGTAAAAGGCCTATGGGTAGGAAAGCTGCAAAATAATTATTTTAGATAAATCAAGTCGTTGAAGCTGAAGTCCAAAAAATGGGCATACAATTGGAGACATTTAACCAACACCTTGCTGAGAATGAAAAGAAAAAGTTTAAAGAGAAGAAAAAAGGATTCAAGCACTACAGGAGCTAAAAGAACTTGAGATCAGAAAACAAGAACATGAGATAGTGATTACGGACATTTCTCATTTGGACCCTTAGGCAAAAGCGTATTACACAATGCGAAAAAATGAGATTTTCGCCAAGTGGTCCTCAAATGTCAGCAACCTAAATTACTATTTCCCCATGCCTCCTGATGACTAATTATGGGATAATGTATTTTTTTGCAATGTCATTTATTTTTTAATGTAATTGTTAGTCTTTATTGGTAATGTCATTTTTTTAATTTTATTTTGTAATGAAATTTCATTTTTTTGTTTTTTTTTTTAATTTATTTTTGAGTATTTTCTATAATGAATGGTTGTTGATGGGTGGTTGTTGATGAATGATGGATGATTATTGGTGGGTGGTTGTTGGTGAATGAATGTTGGGTGAATGATGGATCGTTATTGGTGGGTAATTGGTGATTGTTTATTTTTATATGTAATTAAAAAAATTTATTAAATATGTAGTGTTATGTTTTTTGGTGGGGTGAATTATAATTTTTTTTCTAATTTTTTAATTTTTTTATATTTGTCTAGTCGGGAATAATATAAATATATACCTTTTTTACAAACAATTTAAAAAAGGTCACAAAGAGACAAAAAAAATAAACAAAAATAAAATCACAAAAAAAAACCTATATCCAAACAACATCTACAAACTTGAAGGGAAAGTTGAGATTTGCCAAAATAGCAAATGACCATTGAAGTGCCATTGCTATAATTTAGCAAAATAATACTATTCATTGCCAAATTATAGCAATAACAATAGCAATATAGCAATAACCATTGGAGATGCTCTTACAAATTTAAGTTGAAAATGACTTAATCAAAGCTATAATCTATCCCTTTAAATTTTATCAAACACACTAAAATAACTAAATTTAAGCTAAAAATTGATTTAAGCTGCTTTTAAGTGCTACCAAACATGCACTGTAATTGGTAAATCTCCAACAGAGATATGCTGCACAGAGCCCAACAATTTGCACCGTTTTCATCCTGTAGTGGAGTAATAAAAGTAAGAATAAATTATAAATATACTCAAATTTGTTTAAAATATAAATTATTTTTTTAATTTTAAAAATTATATGTACATTTTTTTAAGTTTCTAATCACATAATAAATAATTATTTTTATTAATAAAGTATCAAGACATTTAATAAATATAGTGATGTCATAAATATATTTTAATAAATAATTTAGACAATTTTATTACTATGTAAAGGAGTAGTTAAAAAAATTGGCTCCGTTTAGTTTGAATTTTCATAAGGATTTTTGAGAGTCTAAAATTAAAAATTCATTTGTTTATCTGCATTTCCAAAACTATTCTCAAAATTATTTCAAATTTCTCTCTATTCCCAAAATTATTTCAAATATATTCCAAATTTATCTCTATTCCAAAAACTATTTCAAATCTATTCTAAATTTATCTTTATCACCAAAACTAAATTAATTGAACCAATAGCTATGTTGAAGTATGCGGTACATCATATTTTCAAGTTCATCAAGTTTTTTTTAGATGAAACTGAATTTTTTTTGGGTGTATATTTGTTAATATTTAGTATTTTTTAAAAAAGATTTTTTTATGAATTTTATATATTTTAAGTGTCTTTTGATTGAGTGGATTTAAAACCGAAAAACATTGACTAAAATATTTTAAAAATTCACTACAAACAATAAAATATGAATTGAAACTCAAAAAATATTTTTGAAAAACTCCAAAAGTAAAAAATTTGACTAAAATAAATAAATATATATATATATATATAGATGAAGTATATCCAAAAAGTATATTTAGATTATGTGTACCTAAAAAGTTTTAAAAAAAATATGAAAAAAAAAAATCACTAAAGACAACAAAACATGAAAAATAAAAAAACTCAAAAATCCAAAAAGTAGTTTTGAAATTTCAAAACCAAACAAGTTTTGAATTTTTAAATTTCTAAAATCAATTTTCAAAATATGTAACCAAACAAATTTTCAAATTTTGTCAACTCTTTTCAAAAAGTTATTTCTCAAAATCGATTATGAAAATTAAACTAAAAAGACCTTTTATTTTTTGAAATATTACTACCCAATGATACTTCCAAAAAAATATTAAGCATACATGAAAAGTTTTTCATTATTAATATTGGTAAAATTTACTACTAATTTGTAATGTATTTTTATAACTTCAACTAATATGTTATTTCCCCTTTATTTTTTCTATTACTTCTATAAAATAAAAAATATTGACAAGGGAGTGTTTAGAATTTCCAAAATCACAATAAATACTTCGTATTTTAACTAAAAATCAAAATATTTATTTGCAATTTTCCTTAAAATCTACATTAGCATATTTTAATAATATGCCTTTTTAATCTTTCATAAATTTATTAAAGGGCTTCTATAATTTTTTTTACAAAGAATTCCTATCGATTCACTCTATCACTTATAAAATTTATTTTGCTCGTTTTATAACAAATAGTTAATAAATTGAAAATGAATAGGAAGTTATTTCAAGACAAATGATAAGTACGTTCAGAACAAGTGGTAAGTTATGTTACACACAATAAATTGAAAATGAATAGCAAGTTATTTCATATATGTTATATAAAATATACAAAATTTATAAAAGTAATGAATAAAAATACAAATCTCAAATTATTAAATAGTAATTACTATTTTGAGGTGTTGTATGTAAAAAAAAAATAAAAAAATAAGTATTTTAAATTAATGTTTTTAAAAATAAATTTAGATAACTTAAAATTTAAAAACATTTGCTTACAAATTTTTTTTCTTTTTTAATTATTTTCAATACTATATTGAAAATTAATTTTCCACAATAAGGACTATTTTAAAAAATTACTAAACCTTAACAGAATTTAATAAATTAATATTTACATATCATATTTTATTTTTTACAAATCATAATAAGACAAAATACGAAAGAAAAATAGTTAAATATGGTATGTCATTAGTTTTATGCATTTAAAATTAATTTAAAATACAATAAAATGTCCATGGAGGTATGCTTCAACCCATAATGTACACTTACAATATATATCTGCAATTCACTTGTTATTATGATGGCCATACTTGTCTACAAGGTTTTTCCACTCTAATTCAAACATTTCTTATAAATATTGCATTGACTTGCATTTTTCAAAGCTATGAAGAAATCCCTCTATGTAGACATTGGAAATGGCATTAATTTTAAGATGCCACTTACATAACCGATGTTGAGCAGTAGGCATAACTGTTTTGATTGCTCTATGCATGGCCTTATCCCTGTCGGTGATTGCGGACAGAGGCATCTTGTGATCCATCGCATCAAGAAATGTCTCTAATACCCATATGCATGTCTCTACTGTCTCGAAAGCCAACAATGCACATCCAAAAACAATCATTTGAAAGTGATTGGTCACACCTTGTAGTATTACAAAAGGCTTGTTATACGCATTTGTCCAATACGAAGTATTAAGCATCAACACATCACCAAAACACAAATAATCTGTTTGAGATCCACTGTGTGTCCAAAACAAATTATTTAATCGATTTTTTTCATCTACATCATATTTATAATAAAACATTCGATCATGCTCTGCTTTACCACATAAGTAATCCAAAGAACCTTCTGCATCATCATTGACAATTTGCGCTCTGCGTTCAGTTCCAAAATGGTTGTACATGTCCTTTTGTATAAACCCAACATTCTCATAGCCACCTGCTTGTTGTGCATCAAAGTCCATAATGTGACATGTCCTCATACCAATATGATGCATTGCATTGCCTTGTACATTGTCAGCACCCATAACATTTCAGTAGGGGTGCTCGTGATTCGATTTTGGACGGTTGGGTTTGCGGTTTGGAACCGTCCGCATATGTGCGGTTTGGGAACAATTGAACCCGCAACCGCCCGCAGTGCGAGTTACGGTTTGTACAGATAGGTTCATGGATGTGCAAACAGTTGTGAGCGATTTACAGATTGAACTTTTTTCTTTAAAAATTTATTTTTTTTGCCTTTTTTCCCGTTTTGTAAAAATTTATTTTGGGCTCTTTTCCCCCCATTTTCTAAAATGCTCAACATTAATAATTAATGAATTAAAACTTATAAAATTAAAAACATAACAAAATCAATTCCTAACACAAACAAATCATTCAAAATCCTAAACTTTTAAATAAAATTATAAACTAACATAAGCAAATCTTTCAAAATCCTAAACTAAATCATCAAAATCATTCACTACCCAACAATACAATTAAATTAAAATCATTCAAAATCCTAAACTTACCTAAAAGTAATTCTTCATTAACTTTTATATTCATCCAAAATACAATAATAAAATAGTAATAAATTGTTGTCAAACTTCATCGAATTCAAACCCATTAAATAAATTAAAAACATTTGCAAACTCGCAAACTCCATCATGAATCACATCTAACTTTCAAAAATTCCAATTCCATGCATATGTTTAATGAACCCTGCACAAAAACAAATTGAAAACTATATAATTTAATCTTCAATCTTCATAATTCATTTGACAAAAAAAGTGTAAAAAAATAAAGTAATGAAAAGATAAACAAATGTGTATATATTGCATTTCAATATAGTAAGAAAATGTGTTGAGTATATGAAAATTTTACTAATAAGCAAAAGGTTATTAAAGTTCAATTATAGCATCAATATTATAGTCTAAGTGCGGATAGGATGAATGAAATCAATAGTCCAGGTTTTTAAATTTACAAAAAAGAAGAAAAAAAAAATCTAAGTGCGGCGGGTTCATGCGGGTGTGGGTAAAACCCGCAACCCGCAATAATGCCATATTCTAAACTGCATCCACGTTGTATTGTGTCTGCAAAACCGCCCATTTATATATAGATCGGTTTAGGTTGGGCGGTTCGGATAACCCTATACCGAGCCCTGCATTCTAGTGTGAGCAAAGAAATTGAACACTAAGAGACCGTATCATGGAATGATTGTGCTCTTTGAAAAATTGATTTACTTCATATTTGGAAGTACTCTAATTATATTTGATACGGAAACAAGCAAGACAACCAACTATAGTTAATTATTTTGATTCTCTTTTACGTTCTTCAAACTCAAGGTATTTGAATTGTCTACGTCTTTCTTTTAAGCACACCCACTTCCTTGATGTAACCATATTACTCTTGTCCTTATACAATTGATCCCTTCAAATACTAAACGCTTTCACCTTAGCATACGAATTATAAAATCTTTCTCCATTTTCTTTCAAATCAAATGTCATTTCAAACACATCTTTTTCAGTTAATTCATCTAGACGCTTAACATCTCTTTCAGTTAGAAGACCATTAGAATTAACAACATCATCTTCATTATGAATATTATACTCATCATCATTAGTATCATCATCATTGTCATCATCATCATCATCATCTAATTCATATATAATGTTATTCTTGTTTTGCTCAATGCTGTCTTTCATCTGTAATAAGCATAAACAAATTAATTACGAAATAGCATGTAAAAAATGGTAAGTACAATACTAGATAGTAAAATGATAAGTGGTTGAGTTACAAAGAGTTGCAAGTAAAATGAGAAGGAATGGTAAGTATTATGTTTGTGAATGGTAATTAATGTCACGCCCCGAAAATAATACAATAATTCAACCGTAAAGACTAATACAAGATGGCATAAACAAAGTATTAGACTTTCATTAATCTGAGTCCATTTACAAAAGGGCACATGCATTACACATTCATAAGCTCTACCCTGAATCTATAGCACGTGGCACCAAACTAAGTGATCAACGAAATAAATGCCCTACCGGTTTACCTCTTTCCAAGACAGTTCTTGGTTACAACAAAAGTGAGCCTAGCTCAACACAATTTAAAGCCCTTGTCTATACAAAAATAGATATAACATAATAGGCATATAACATGATATGCCTTGGCGGAGGCATATCATCAGCACTTGAAAATGGTTTTTCTCAAATAAGGTGAGCCAAAGCCCAGCAAAAACAATCTAGCACAATATATGAACTTTAACAAGGTTAAAAACATGATGCACATGGCCAATGCTCAAAATAAAATCATTTACAACTCTTCTTCCCAAATCCATATTATGCCAAGTATGATAACCCAATCCATTTTATCTTAATTCGTTTCATGTCATTTCATATCTCCTCAATTCATGAGTCATATCCATTGTTATCCAGACAACCCAACTAAGATTACAACTCAGTGGTTTGATTACCACACAACCATTACACACAAGCACTTCAATTTCCCATTTTATCAGAATGTCGTCCGTGAGAATCGGCACCCATATATACACAATGTTTTTAGGGTTTTCACCCTGGACGCATAGGCCAACTTAATTCAATGGAGTCCATCCCCTTTCTCCTCCCAAACATGGAGTTCATTCCCTTTCTTCTCCAAAACATTATACATATACAATGTATTAAACACAGTCATATTTAATGACAATCAATAAGAGATTGGTTCTAATTTACCTAATCCTCATGCAATTTCTACAAAAATCATAACTATCCTCCACCGATAGCCCAAAACAGATATTTCTAAACAAATATACAATCTTCTCAACAGATAAATTATTCAAATTTCCATAGATGAGAGGTGATACACATCTAACTTCACCATTTATATAATCATTAATCTAATTTCATATTTCCATTTCCAATTTCATTACTTATACAAAATAATTACTTGAACATTTTAGGGCAAAATTCCCTTTTTTCCCAATCTCATCCCAATCACCAAAAATCGACCATTTATAGCATAACCAAGATCATATTCATTCCCATAACCATTTCTGAGACATCCATTATAAAACCCCTCTTTGGACTTGAAACCCCAAATCCTAGGTTTGTTGAAATTACTTTTCAACCCAATGTTTCTCACACATCAAGAAGATGACCAAGTTAAAACTCATAGAGAGTGTAGAGAGTCTCTACCTCAAAGAGAGAAGACAATCAAAGCAAATGAGAAACTCCAAAGATGCCGAAACCAAAGTCTATTCAGATCAAAATGATGCCTTCGAGGCGCTCACCCTTTTTGACAAAGGTACACAGGTAGAGAGATCACTAGATCTATGTGAAAATGTAAAGAGAATGTGAGTTTTAGAGAAAGAGAGTCCCAATCTCGGGTTTTTTGGTGGAAAAAGATGTGAAAAAGTGATGTAAAAAGGTACTACTGCGAACTGATATACGCACAGTCCACTTGAGCGCAAGAGTTCACGCTCGAGCGTCAAACACAATAAGTTGTTCTGCTCGAGCGCAAAATACACACATCCGGTAGTTTTGCAAACAGAAGAACATCCCTCGAGCACAAGAATGGTCACTTGAGCACATACCCGCTTGAGCGTAGGAAACGCCACTTGAGCGTAGAATACACTCTCCCAGTAGTTTTGCAGACCTGCAAAAGTACTGAAAGTTTGCAAAGCCCGCTCGAGCGTAAGAAGTGCCGTGCGAGCAGAGGAGCAAAAATCTGGGCAATAAAGGTTTGAAAATCAAGCAACCAACCTGTTCTAAACACAACAACTACATTCCAACAATCAAGTTTAAGAAAGAATAAGGGGAAAAAGACATAAACAACCATACAAGGTTATGAATCCCAAGTCCAGAATACAAAATGGATAGTGACTAAACCAGAAATGCTATAACCTCAATCCCTTTAGGAATTTCGTCCCCGAAATTTCAAATCAAGTTTTAAAACTAAGTTAAAACCCATTTAGCACAATGATAACCATTTCATTCCATCACCATGACCCACTTTCCGGTCATTTCCTCTTATCAACTCGATACACAAGTTCCAAAATTAAAAGTAAAATCCACATTTCCCAAAAACATTTACAATGTTTACATTAAGTTCATATTTCCAAAACATACACAACATATATAATGTTCTTATATATGCAAAACATATACAATGTTTTCATATTTCATTAACATAACAATAGTACAATACATGTTCAAATACTAACAAACAAGTCTGGATACTTCTCACGGACTTCCAACTCACGTTCCCAAGTTGCTTTCTCAACCCCGTGATGTTTTCACAATACTTTAATAAAGGGAATTGTCTTACTTCGAAAGACTTGGTCCCAAGTATCCAAGACTCTCATCGGTCTCTCCTCATAGAAGGCATCCTCATCTACCTCTAAGTTGGTCCAATCTAATACGTGCGATGGATCTGGCTCATACTTCCGAAGCATGCTAATATGAAACACATCATGAACCTTGAAAAGCTGTGGCGGCATGGCCAAACGGTAAGCTACCTCTCCAATCCGCTCAAGCATCTCAAAAGGCCCAATGAATCGATGTGATAACTTCCCACACTTTCCAAACCTCATCAAACCCCTCCTAGGTGATATCTTCAAGAACACATGATCTCCCGTCTCAAAAGACAAAGGTCTCCTCCTACGGTCGGCATAACTTTTCTAGTGACTCTGAGCCGTAACCAACCTCTTACGAATAAGTGCAACATTTTTCGTCATTTTCCGGACCAACTCTGGACCCAACATAGGTGCATCACCCACCTTGGCCCAACACACATGAGATCTACATGGTCAGCCATACAAGGCCTCAAACGGTGCCATACCGATACTCGACTGGAAGCTATTGTTATAGGCAAACTCCACTAAGGGCAAGTGTCTCTCCCACGAACCCTTGAAGTCAAGGACACAACCCCGATGCATATCCTCAAGGATCTGAAGAGTACACTTGGACTGCCCATCAGTCTAAGGTTAATACGCGGTGCTAAAAGTCAATTTAGTGCCCAAAGCACTCTGTAGGCTCTGCCACAACCGAGC